AAATATACACAAACGTTTCTATGCCATATACGATGAGACTACAGAGATACCAGATCTGAAGATCATTGTGCCGAAAATACGCTGTGAAGTGCTGCGTGGTCAAGTTCTAGTCTTTTCCGGATTGGTGCCGACCCAGATGAAGTTGGAGCAATCGCGTGCCTATTTTATAGCTAAAAGCTTGGGAGCCGAGGTCCAGTCAAACATTAGCAAGGATGTAACGCACCTGGTGGCCGTCAATGCCGGCACCTACAAAGTGAATGCGGCCAAGAAGGAACCGAACATTAAGGTAGTTAATGCCAATTGGTTGTGGGCCTGCGCCGAACGCTGGGAGCATGTTGATGAGCGCCTCTTTCCGCTCGATCGCAAGGTGCGCAACAAAGGACGACAACCACCTGCCCATTGCCACAGTCCCGAGCATGTAGTGAACTATAATGAGAGATCAGAGATATCGCCGTCGAGCAGCATGCAACAAGAGCAAGGTGGGAATTTCCGTGAAACACTTAATCCGCTGTTGGTGTTCACCAATGCGGACATCGAGTCCATGAACAAGGACTACGAGACATTCTTCGAGTCGGATTCCTCCAGCGATGAGGGCCCTGTCAATTTCGGTAAGTAGCTGGAAAATAAGTAAACGCCTTCATTTTCATTTATACAATATTTGCAATTTAATAGAAAATCCGCCAATGGACAAAAAGTTGTTGAAGCGTAAACGCGAGGATGAAACTTCAAATCGTGCTCATGATTTCTTTACACGCTCCGAGGATATGATGTTGGGTACGACCACCGCAGTGGCCAAGTTCGATAAGAATTCCTCCAATGAAGAGGACGAGCCTGAGGATGAGGAAAAGGAGGAAGAAGAAGAAGACGATGATGAAGTGCCAAGCGCTAAATTTCGACGTGGTATGCCTATCATATATACAATAGATTTTATGAAATTATAAACTATATATTAAACACTTGATTTGCAGGCGAGGAATTGCCATCGGATTTGGAAATGGGCTCTGATTCGAACAGCGAAAACAACCAGGAAGATGACGGTGATGACGGCGAATGGAATATGATGGGCGCCGCATTGGAGCGTGAATTTCTTGGACTAGAAGATTAGCTATATCAATCCGAACTGGACATCGAGCAGAAAACTAATTGCGGTGCACTCGACACCAAAAGTCGAGCACAGCGAATAGCATTTGGAAGATTTGGAAGTAGCTGGCGATAATAATGTTCAATGCACTTTTGACATTTCAAATGTACCTACTCTTAAAAAAAAAAAAAAAAAAAAAAAAAAAAAAAAAAAAAAAAAAAAAAAAAAA